CGCCATGTGGTCACCTCCGGGGCAGGCGAGGATCGAACTCATGCGAAAGCGGCTATAGATTCTCAGTGCTTCGCTTTAACCCTCTGCGCCACCAGGGAGGGCCAGATGATGCTTTGATTTTAAGCATCAAAGTTGTTTAAAAAAAAAAAAAAAGAAAAGAATAAAAGAAGAAGAAGACGACAATCCAGAAATCTAAACTTGAAATAATCCAGGCACTTGACACAGAGGAAGAGTTTCTAAAAAGTAAATTCTCCAGGATGGTCCTTTCCTGATGCAGCACCGTCCACATCTTCCACTCTTACTCAGGAAAGCCTCCGGCCGTTTCCTAGCACGCAGTGTCCTCTCCTTCATACCCTGCGTAAGAGTACTCTTCAAATAACACTACAGGGGCCATAGCAAGGTGGTTGCAACAAGCGCGTGAGGAACGTCACAGCGTGCTCTGCGGCACAAGCGACGGGGTGGGGCCCCTCCCTAACACGTTCACGTAAATGCGGCGATCACCACGCAGCAAAGCTCCTTGCACACCTCCGGCCACGTCTGCAGGGCTGCAGCAGCCATGCGGTCTTGGCCACTTAGGGACTGCTGCAGCGTCAAGCCACGTTTATCCGAAGTCCACACGTCGTTTGCACGCACGACCATCTCCATCTTGTCAAAGAGCCTCGCCTACGATGCAGCGCACCCAGCACGCCGCCCAGGAGCCTCACGGGCGTTCAGGAGGTCTCGCTTACCCTAGTCCCACCTCAGGGTGCCTTTGAACAGCTTGACTGAGGACTCGGGAAATTCGGCCAAGAGCGTTGTGTCAAAAACTTGCTTGAATTTGTCTAAAAACTCATAATCGGTGCTGAGCCTGAACATGTTGGCCCAGAGCAGCGTGGTGCCCAGCCGGCAGAGGTGGGCCATGGTGCGGAGCAGCGACGGCAGGCAGTGGTGCTGGTAGACCACGTCCGAGGCCACCACGTAGTCATAGTGGCACGCGGCCCTGGGGAAGCGGCGCTCCAGGCCCTCCCCCCACACCAGCTCCCTCACGTCGGGCAGGTGCGCCGCCCGAGCCAGCGTGTTCTTCAGGAGGTTGTACTGAAGGTTTCCGAGGACATCGGGCAGGTCTGTGGCGGTGACTTCAGCACCTGAGGGGAAAAGAGGAGCTGGCGCCCTTGGCGGCCACGGAGAACGTAGAGGGAGACACAGGAGACTCAGCGTGGCCTTGTCGACAGGCCTGGGCCCGTCTGACATGGCCCCGCTTGGGGAGGGGACCCCACCGGTACGAGGTTCAGCACCCTCCTGGGCTCAACCCAGGAGACGCCAGGAGCACCTCCTCTCCCCACCCCCAAATCCTTAGCTCAGTCACGTCTCCAGACAGGTCCGAGTGGCCTTGTGGAGCAAGGACCACGGAAACAGAATAATGCGTCTCCAGCGTGTCAGTTAGATGGTCCTGTGCTGTCGGGAGATTTCAGGATAAACAGCTAAACACACCCAGGCCCTTAGCTCTGCTTAACAGAAGAATTCCTCCCGTGGAACATTCTCTTTATCTGAAGATGGCCTCTCTTTACCTGAGCCACTCACTGCCCGCTTTTCTTCCCAGAGCGATCTATTTTGTGTGACACCCCCTCTTGGCTAAATTCTTTGCACTCATCTTTGGGATTTCAAAGCCAGTGGCAGGGCCTGGTGGGGTGGGAGGGAACTGTACGCGGCGACAGGTCGGAGCCATGTCTGTGCTCCACTGAGGTACAAGTCTGCCTTCACCGTGGACTAACCCACTGGCTTTATTGAAAACGTGGGCCGTGGTACTTGCTACAAGAAGCGGGAGGCTCATGGCAATGGGGTCGCGGCAGGAGCATGTCTGTCCAGAGCGTCCACTTCCTCGTGGGGCGAGCCGGCCGGCCAGCTCCTGACCGCCCTTGAGCACGTGGCTCCTCGGGGTAACAGGAGCAGGTCCTGGCGCGTGGGGGCGGGGCGAGGCCGGCGAGGACACCCTGGACCTCCCTCACCTACAGCGCGGCCGGCCCTGCACTGGGCAGGCCCTGTCGTCGTCACGGGCACGGTCCCTCCACGCCAGTCAGGAGTCCACCCACCAACCTAAGATACTGGCCACAACGGAGACGAGGCCGGGCCCAGCGCCGAGCTCCAGCACTTTAGCATCCCGGAGGCTCAGCTCCTCCGCGTGTTCCTCCAAATACTGGCACAACGCCGTGGCCTGAAACATGCGCAGACGTCACCTACACGCCGGAGTACCGGGCCCCGGCCACGACCCCCCACCCCGCCACCCCAAGTCCATCGCGGGCACCCGCTCGTGCTGCCGGCTTTGCCAAATAGAGTGGGAAGCTGTGGCGTCCTTGCTGGTCCTCCAATCTGTTGTTTAACCAAAGCCTGTGCTTGAAGAAGCCACGGCAAGACGAGGTGGAAACCTGGCGTCTGGCGAGAGCCCGGGCCCTAAGGAAGGGGCACCCGCTGCCCTGCTCATCCCCTCACCGGCCACAAGTACCCCGGGCCACCCGCCCATAGCCACTGAACCCCGCGGACGCCCGGCTGGGACCCCCCCAGGTCCTGGGCCGCTGCCCCAGCCCTGGAGTCGTGCTGCTCTGGGCGGCGGCTGAAGGCCCTGCGGGGAGCAATGGGCACAGCTGTCCCGGGCCCCGGAACAGCTGCCCCCCGCCAGCGCGGCCCTGAGCCCCAACTCAGCTGACAGCAACATTAGCTAGGTTACAGCCGACATGAGCCAACGTGTCCGGGTTCCCACACCAGGCACCGGCTCCACCCGCGGAGCACGCAAGAGGGGGGTGCAGGAGCAGGGAGCCCTGTGCTGGCCATGCCTGTGCAGGGAGCGGAGGTGAGGGTAGCCGCGGGTGCGAGGCCCCTGCTGGCCCAAATGGGTGCTGCAGCGTCTAAACTCAAGTCGGCCTTTTCTTTCTTAATTCGTCTGAGTTTTCGACTTAGTTCCCAATTTATTCAAGTCTGTTCAATAAAGAAGAGAAGTTTCAAGAAACAGCTTAGAGGAAGAGCACTGCTTTGGGGAGACATGCTGTGTTGGGGGGCCAGGCGCACCCCATCTGGGGGCCTGCAGTCGGCCTCACTGGACAAGGTGACAGTTTCAGCACCTGGCAAATTGCCACTGGTGGCAGAGGCTCAGAATCGCTGTCCCCAGAGCCCCCGACACCCCAGGGGAAGTGCGCTCACCGCTGGCCACACCAGCGCTCCGTGGCTCTCTATGGACTCCCGAAGGACGATCTTCTCGCCTGCGAACTCGTAGTCCTCCTGGGTGTAGCTGGCGTAATCTGTGGGAACGAATTTCTGGAGGCTCTGGAGACACGGTTCTACTGAGTGAGAATCTGGGGGAAGAAAACCAAGCAGGTTCCATGCTTTGTGGGTGCAATCCGCAGGGCACACTGTTGGGGTGCTGGACAGGGCCACCAAGGGGCGAGGCCGTCAGGACAGGGCTCAGAGGGCGCAAGACAGGCGACACCGGGCAGCAGGGACAGGAATTCAGATGTGACATGTCCCCTAGAGCCAAATGCCAAAGGGTAGCTGGGTGCGCCTCCCCAGGGAGGCTGTCCCCACCGGTGTCCCGGGACAGGGCAGCTCGTCAGCGGAAAGGCACGAGGGACTGCGGGGGAGGAGGACCTGGCCAAGCCTGGCTATTTTTAGGTCTTTACTGAGGGGAGTGGCGGCCTCCACAGTCCTCCCTGCAGGTCGCCCCGGAGGGGCCAGCGCAGGTCCAGATGAGCCCTGGCTATTGAGTTACGAGGCCCTAAATATTCCCTAACGCTCATGACCCAGCTCGCGGCTCTCAAGTGTCAGACAAGATGAGAGCGGAGCGCCCCTCATCCGGCCGCAGCTCCGCCGACGCCCCAATAAACTGGGCAGCCGCCGCGTGTGTGTACGGCGGGAGCGCTGGGCAGGCTGCAGAGGTGGGGCCGCCGCACCCGCGTGAGAAGTTGGGCAGGGAGCTCCTGAACCCCGTTTTGTTGCCTGAGATGGACCTGGGCATCTCCTTTAATTTTGTGCCGAAGTCACATCAATCCCCAGCACTGTGGACGCCCCATGGCCATGTGAGCGCCATGCTGAGCCCAGGCTCCTCTGTCACCAACGCAGCCCCTAGCTGGTCCCCCACCTCACCCCTGGTCCCCTCGGAGAACCCCAATCATTCTGTGTCTCTAAGTTTGTTTTTGTTTGTTCACTTGCTATTTTCATATTACGCACGTGAGTGAAATCATATGTGTGTGCAGGGGAAGTTGGGGGGGTCACACTCTGTCCCGCCAGCATCTCTGTGCCACCCCCTGCGCCTCGCTTCCCCCCAGGCCTCACTACCCACACGTGATAGCGTGTAGGTGCAAGGTGCTCAGGAGTGGCACCAGCAGGCATGGACTCCGGGCCGAGAGGTGTGACAGGTGCGCCCGTGACTGCTGACACCTGGACCGAAAAGCCGGTGAGCAGGTATTTGGCCTGAAAGGACAGATTGAGGGACTGAGGGACTGAGAGGACTGAGGGGACTGAGGGGACTAGGGACTGAGGGGACTGAG